AGAGAGAGAGAGAGAGAGAGAGAGAGAGAGAGAGAGAGAGAGAGAGACGAGTATAAAAGACAGACATAAAAAGCAGGGAGGGACAGAGAGGGAACGAGGAGGGGAAAGCAAAGGAGCGGCCGCGGCGCTTTCTCACTTCACTCAGTCTCCTTCGCCTACTTTTGTTCGTTTCATTGTTTCATGAATGGGAATTCTCCCCCCTCCACCCCCTCCCACGTCATAACGTGATGTTAGAGAGTGTAACATCAGCACATATCAAGGCCGAACAGGCGGCAGTGACATGTCCCCCCCCATCCTCCTCCAGAGCACAGGCGTTATTCCGGTCCTAAGTGCGGGCTCCGGTGGTTACAAGCGCGGCTGCCGCTTCGGCGTTCAGTTTTGGAACAAGGAGAGGAAGACCATAAAACAGAGAGCCGGAGAACCAGGCTATAGGGGCCCAGCGCGGTTCTGGGAGCCGGTTAGAGCCTGGGAGTTTGTGTTGTTGTTGTTGTTGGTCCCGGAGCGGACCTTGGTGTTGGGCAGCTTGTGGTCCTTCTTCCATTTCATCCTGCGGTTCTGGAACCAGATCTTGATCTGCCGCTCCGACAGGCACAGCGTGTGGGCGATCTCCACCCTGCGCCTGCGCGCCAGGTACCGGTTGTAGTGGAACTCCTTCTCGAGCTCCAGGACCTGCTGGCGCGTATAGGCCGTCCGCGAGCGCTTCGGCTCACCGCCTGTGTAGTTCGAGCTCACTGTGGAACAACAATGGGAATATATGAGCATCACGACTCCACTCAAGCAAAAAAATAAGAAAACACAATCATTTCAATTCAATTCAAAAATATAGCCTATGGTCATGATAGTAATACTACTTATAATAATAATAATAATAATAATTGCCACAATAACATGAATTATATATAATTATAATTTATAAAATTATAAATAATACAGGATATCAAGCCACTGCTTTCATATTTATAATAGTGCCACATTACAGTAGAACAATTGGCTTTCACTAAAAATACATAGAGTTATTGTTTTATAACTGTGGGCTCGTTAAAGAGGACGCAACACAGATGTCTGCGGTAACGTGCGAAACTGAAAACAGCCCACCAAGCCCCACGGAGGAATAAAAACGTCAGGGCATTATGAGCATGCAACGAGGAGAGATAAAGCCACGGCCACCTACTGATGGGATACAAAATGGCCGTAACCTTGCAGACCCTTTAATGATCGCGAACCACTTTTATCCTACCACTAAATCTGTTGGCCCGCGTGCTCGCAAACGCAGCTGTTACGGCGGAACTCGTTTGTTTCACACTACAGGCTTTTGCGTCTTCAGCGCACACATCTTGTCAGGTGTCATTTCAGGGCCTGCGGCGGCGTGGATCCTCTCAGCGCATCCAGCCTCACGGTTGTGTCCAAATGTTGTGATTTGAGAGCCGCATTATCTAAAAGCTTGACAAAAAAAATCGTGCCGCTCTGACACGTGTGCGCACATACCAGAACATTTAAATGCGGTCGTTTCGATGCAGGGATGCCACGGACTGAGCGCAATTATGGCAGCATTGTCTGCCTTGTATAAACTGATTGAGGATATAGGTGGTGGTGGTGTGTGTGTGTGTGTGTGGGGGGGGGGGGGGGGCGCTATACACGATGGCACTGAATGGCCGACTTTGTGATGATTCAACAAATACCAAACGCTAGCAGCGATCAAACATGCTGCAGCGGAGTCTGTTGACAGCTAAAACAACTGTGCTACGGGAGAAGAAGAAAATATGCAAGATAATTGTGCTTACCGGTGGAGTGAAATCATTACGGTGACTTTACAAAAGTGGCATTGTTTTTATTTTTGTGGTCGCGCTAGCGAACTCCAGCTATCCCAACGCGCATATAGGCAGCAAGTCTATTGGAAGATTACAGAGAGGAGCCGTAATAGACTGCAGCTATTCGGTTTTACATTAGCGTTTTTACGGCCGGCTCCATAAACATGAATATTTCAGCTGCCATAAAACTTTCCCTCCCCTGGAACAACGAGTGGGGAAGGAAGGCTCGACAGAGTAAAGTACACCGTTTATACAACCCGACCACTTAAAATCAAATTACCAAAGCATAAAAGCTAACTTATGGGCTCGGTCTGAGTTGTCATAAGGCGAGGAATTAGAGCCGACGCGCCGGAGATCGGACTTCAAAAGGCACCTCGGCGGAGAGGTGTAATAAAAATTTATGGAGGGTGTAATTATATTGGCCCTGCAAACAGACGATCGTAAATCTTGACCCAAGGGCTACTCTTCTGCTTCTAGCGGGAAACAGGGAGGGGAAGCCGTCGATTTAGACGGTGGACACCTAGCTGACTGCACGGCATGCACAAAGGCGCAGCGAGAGAGGGAGAGAGAGAGAGAGAGAGGGGGGAGAGGGAGGAAGAAGTTTGCATGCAGCACTTACGGATGTTTACATGGACTTTCTTCATCCACGGGTAGACGACGGGGTCCTTGGCGCTCGTGGGGGACGAACTGCCTTGGCTGTGGGGTGTTATGCCGCAAGTCGCGGGCGGAGGCGGGCTGGGCGTCACCGAGTCGGAGTGGTGGCTCAGCTCCGGGACGGCGGCCGTCCGCAGCCCAGCCGCGGGGAGGACTTCACCCCGCGGGGAAATCACCACCGAGGCGGGCTGCCCCGGACGCTGGCACGGCGTGTACGGCGGCTCGCCGCGCTGCTGGTGGTGGTTCTGGTGCTGCGGGTGGTGCTGGTGGTGGTAGAGGGAGTCCGGCTGGAAGGCGGCAGCCTCCTGCCTCTGGGAGCTGTAGTAGACCGGAGAGTGGCTGGGCAGATAGTCACTCTGTGAGTACTCCTCGCACGGTGGGAACTTCGGGTCCACATAGTTGGAGTTGATCAAATAGGAGCTCATGGCCATTAATGTCAGTCTTTTTGTGGAATTGCACCTACTCGGAAAATATATAACTAAAATTTATATCTCATCCCTTTACTCTTCGGTTATTCCTGTTCCGTTGAACCCTCCTACTTTTCTGTCAAGTGAACAAAGTTAAGAAGCCACGTGACGGCGGCCGGCCAATGGCGCGCCTCCGGGATGAACCCCGGATAAGGAAATGGGATTAAGCATATACACGGCCCCCGCACGCGCACCATCATATGGCCTCCGTTTGTGGGCATTCACAGCCTCCCAAACACCGTCCCCTCTCTTTCCCCCTTCTGCAGATCCCTCCACCACATGTCGGCGCGCACACCGCCCTAAAGCAGCCAGAGAATCACAACAACAACAATAAAAGTGCGTCCGACACGCATAAAATACGTTCCGGCTTGAGCTCGAGGAAGGCGCACGCGCAAACGGACACACGCGAGCAGCAAGAGTACAGTACAGATGACAAGTCCTCCGTGATGCAAATGAACCTTTTTTCTCTCCTTTTACGCGTCTGGCTGGGACTTCAAAAAAAGGAGAAAAAGAAGGAAGAAGGAGAAAAAAAAAGAAAGCGCTCGGGGGGATTTCGAGTGGCGCCTGCACCACCCTCTGTGTATATATTTGTGTGCGTGTGTGTGAGTGTGTAGGTGTGTGTGTGTGTGTGTGTGTGTAGAGACGTGCTTACCAACGTTCTTTTTCTTTTAAATCCCTAATAACGGGGAGTAGGAGAGTGCTCCACCGCCACCCAGCAGCAGCACCATGTCAGAGATAAATCTGGCTTGTTTAGGATCGATAGAAAATTCATCAACTAATTCAGATTCCACGGGCCTTCTAAATCACCAGCAGACATTTGCATTATGGGAAGGAGAGAGTCCGTCACAGGTTGGCTCTTTCCAGGAGAGCCAATCCACATTTAACCCCCCCTTTGCATGATAATCCAGCCTCGGTTCGCTTTTTGCCCAGCATGAACAAACAGGATGTGTATTTGTTTTCCTCCACTTCCCCGATATTAACATGGAGAGTCCATGTGCCGGGTCCAGACCGCGCGCGGCTGCTTTTGCCCTTGAGCTTACCGAACAGAAGATACGCAGGTCTTTGTTGTTTTTTCCTGCTGGAGGAAATTCATCTCCTCAACCGTGACCCGCTCACACGAGCTGACTTTTACAACGTTGTCCCCCCGTTTCAACCACTAACACACTTCCATGTAGCACACACTCTAACGCTAGTGTCACCTTATCATTGCCATAAACAGACACAGAACACCATGAAGCAAGGACTTGAACCTGCACTGCGCAAAGTGAGGACGCAGAGATTCGACCACACGCTGCTTTATAAAGAATAATAATCACACACGTTCACCAGCATTCTCTCACACTCTACAGTAAACTTTCTGCATGCGGTTCGAGAGCTTAGACGCAAGACACAAACACATAAAATGTGCTGCAAAGATGTGTTCTTTCTAATCAAAAAGGAGGCGCTTTCTGTGATGTTATCAGTGGGACTGAATGTGCACATACACACACACACAGGCAAGATGATGGAGATATCCAAGTCCTTTGTTTCGAGAAAATTGACCGTCTCTAAATCGAAACCTTAGCCCCCCCCCCCTCACATACACACATACCCAACCCCCTTTAGATGAACAGTAAAGTCGACCGCATCATTTTTCAACTGGACAAATAATAAATAAAAAAGAGTCCAATTCAACCTGGAATCGGCCTTCAAACTGCGGGAAAAAAATGATGTAAAAGTATATAAATAAAAGTGTAACGAAACTTGGATTGAGTTTCCATCAAAATAAACCAGCAATAACGTCTTGAAATGAATGAATTCGCGCGTGTCAACGCTGATGTGGAATACAAATTCGTGCATGAGACATTTTTATTAACCTTTGCAGTTCCACTTTTGAGAAAATCAAGTGTGAAGCAGCGATCCATAAGGCGTTACAAGCCAATAACAGCCGCTCAAAGGCCTCCCGCTCCTGCGTTGGATCCATCGCTGCCGTCGCGTATAAATCCACTATATACTCCCCTAGAAGCGAATTTGTGATTGTTTTAATGATTTGTACACAAATCCGGATCTACAGGGTAGATATAGAAGACAGCGGCTCTCTGGAGGCACGAGGGTTACACCGTGGATGGAGTTTTATTGCTTTCATAAAACTCCCCGCCACAGCCGCACTGGAATATTTCCGTCTGTACCGCTCCCGACCCCCCTGACCTCCTCGCCGCTGGTGGGGAACTGGGAAATGAAGTTATAATGCTGTAACATTTCCTGCGAGTCGAGGGGGCGACGATGAACTGACTGGCGAATAAAAGAAGGAGATAAGGAAATGAACATCTTCGCAGCTCTTGTGTGAGGGAGCACGAGAGCTGCGTTCTTGTCCTGTTTGAGTTCTGTTAGCGAAATAAATCTTGTAAATAAAAATAAAGGCATATTCACCTTGTTTTAATATAATGTGCATTCATTTACAAATTCTGTATTGGAATTGTTTAAGCTGTTATAATGAGCAATAACAGTACAAATGTATTGTGTCCGGGAAATGAAATATTATTTATTATAGTCCTTATAAAATCATATCATTTGCAAATATACAGGCCTCCGCCAATGACCAAAAAAAACGTATACCTCCTGTTCTTTAATCAATTTGAATATTTCCATGCCCAATTTAGTCTCTCACTGCTCCGTTTAAAACGAATGTTTTATTCAAAATCAAAATGTCCCATAAGCGTTCCAACCACGTAAACAACCACACAGATTATACAGTTGTAATTATCCAAACGAACAAGAAGAGGAAAAAAGAAAGAGTGAAAGAAAGAAAGAAAACATCTTGGCAGCTCCAACCGTGGAGCGTTCTAACCGAATGGATACGATTTAATGAAAGGAAAAAAGACAGATCGCTTGGTGCGGGGAAACACTGTCCTATCAAAAATGGTTCTGACTGATTCGACTGAAGAATGGATGGAACAATGAATACATGAATAAATGTCCCTTCACTATGCCAAATGAATTGAAGTCTGTCCTCGAAAACTCTGATCCAACTGAATTAAAAAGGAATATAACTAACACAAAGGAGGCCCTGGACTCTTAATTATACATCTATCTCTCCCTCTCTATATATAAATAGATATACATATAAATACATATATATATATATATAAAAATACA